CACAATAGAGGGAGACTATCTAGTTAGGAGTTAGACTAGGAATGTCATTGGTCGTCTATTGATGTAGGGCTTTGCTTTCTAGTTGTACTATACCAACCATCTATTTCGTATTTCGTATTTCGTATCCTGTATTTCATAATTCATATCTCTTATATATTGTTGTTATTTTTATTACGCATTTTTATGGTACTAATATATCATCTCCTATTGCTTTTTTGAGCCGAGGGTCTCCTGGAAACAGCCTCTCTACCCTTCGGGGTAGGGGTAAGGTCTGCGTACATATTACCCTCCCCAGACCCCACTTGTGGGATTATACTGGGTCGTTGTTGTTGTTGTTGTTGTTGTTGTTGTTGTGTTGCTCTAATTCTATTGGCTAACTAATAACCTACAAAACAGAAAAAGATTCTTCTACAGTGATATTTCACACGTATGAGGCATGTGAATATCAGCTACACTTATTGATCTGGATGGCTCAGAATTGATCCATCAATTAAATCATCAATGTTCAAAATTGAGCTACGTGTTATGTATCTCATTCTTGTAAACTCCGAACTTAAGTTGTCTTTGTCTGAGACCCTAGAATAATCATCTTCTTCATTGAGCTTTCTTCTTCATTCTTCTTCTAACTTTCTTCTTTAATCTTCTTCTGAGATGAACCATGAGAGACTATTATCTCAACATACCCCCTCAAGTTGGAGGGAACGAAAGTAATATCCAACTTGCGAAGAGCAGAAATATGAGCTGGTCCTGAGAGAGATTTGGTGAAAAGATCGGTGAGCTGTGGCGAGGAAGGAATATGTGAGAGTGAAATTAGACCGGAAAGGTACTGTTGCCAGACAAAATGATAGTCTAATTCCACGTGCTATGTCCTTTCGTGGAATACTGGATTTCGGGCAATATGAATCGCCTATTTTCTATTAGAGAGAACAAGAACAGGTAAAGATGGAGGTACAGACAAATCCTCAAGTAATCGAGTTAACCATGTCAACTCAGCAACAACTCGGCGCATAGATCGATATTCTACTTCAGCAGAGGACAAAGAAATTGAGGCTTGTTTCTTGGATTTCCTGGTGATGGGTGATCTCCCTAGAGCTATATAGAAGCCACTAACAGAACACCGAGATTCAGGACAAGAAGCCCTGTCGGCATCGCAAAAAGCAACAAACTTTTGAGAGGGATCTGAGTTTAAAATGATCCTTTGTCCGGGATCTGAACAGAGGTACCTCAGAACTCGAATAGCTGTCATATAAAGAGAAAGTCGGGGACTTTGCATGTATTGGCTGAGCTTAAGGACAAAAAAGGACAAGTCGGGCCTTGTGTGAGTCAAATAATTCAGCTTCCCAACGAGATACCGGTACACAGTGGGATTGGAGACCAAAGGTCCTTCATCAGCACTGAGCTTTGAAGATGGTCAAGAAGGGAAGAAACACAAGATGAAATGGAAACATCAAATTCATGCAATAAATCCAAGGTAAATTTCCTTTGACATACAATGATCCCTTGTGCTTCCCTGAGAATTTCCATTCCTAGGAAATAATGCAGATTTTCCAAATCTCTGACTTTGAATTCTAAACTAAGGAAAGACTTAAGTGCTGAAATTTCATAAGAATCATTACCACTAATGAGAATGTCATCTACATATACTGCAACAATAGAGGCTAGATTCCCATTATGTTTAAAAAATAAGGAGTAGTCATTCATGAAGAAAGAATAACCTTTGAAACTTAATGCACCTGCAAGCCGAACATACCATTGCCGTGAAGCTTGCTTTAAGCCATAGAGAGACTTTCTGAGTAGACAAACATGGTTAGGACTCGGGGAAAACATTCCAGAAGGAAATTTCATGTGGACTTCCTCTTGTAAGTCTCCATGTAGAAAAGTATTGCTCACATCTAATTGATAGATTGGCCAGTCCTTCTTTGTTGATGTAATGACCCGGCCGGTTGTCTTAAGAATTAACGCCCCGATCCCCTATTAACTGATTTCCCCATATTTATTTCTGCTATTTTGATTTGCCAGGATGGTCGGTTTTGAGTTTTAGAGAGTTTTGGGACACTTAGTCCCTAAATGAGAGCTTTAGTTTTGGAAATTTGACCATAGTTGGAATAGTATAAAGATGGCCTCGGAATGGAATTAAGATGGTTCCGTTAGCTCTGTTAAGTGATTTTAGGTTTAGGAGCGTGTTCAGATTGTGTTTTGGAGGTCTGTAGCTAATAGGCTTGAAATGCCGAAAGTTGAATTTTTGAAGTTTCCAGTTCGATAGTGAGATTTTGATTCGAGGGTCGGAATGAAATTACGAAAGTTTGAGTAGCTCCATAGTGTTGAATGTGACGTGTGTGAAAAATTTCAAGTCATTCGGACGAGATTTGATAGACTTTTTGATCGAAAGCGTATTTTTAAAGTTTTTGAAGTTCTTAGGCTTGAATCCGATACTGAATTGGTGCTTTGATGTTGTTTTGAGTGTTCCGAAGGTTGGAACATGTTTGAATGAAGTTATGGGATATGTTGGTAGGTTTGGATGAGGTTTCGGGGGCCTCAGGTGTATTTCGGATGCTCAAACGAGCACTTTTGGTCTTTGGGAGATTGCTGGTTTTCTGGTATTTTTGCAGTAGCGATTTGTTCATTGTGATCGCATGAGATCACCTGCGATCGCGTAGAGTAAGTTGAGACCAGACATTTTTTGTGAATTGCGATCGTAGAGGAAGGAGTTTGATCGCATAGGGTGAGTTTATTGGTCATTGCGTTCGGATAAGGACCTGTTCGTTCGCGTAGAAGGACTTGGTGTGGCAGTGGGGTGATGGAATTTGCTTTATGCAATCTCATAGAGCGGGTCGCGATCGCGTTGCTTGAGGAAGTTGTCTTATGTTATCACATAGGTATTTCTACGATTGCATATGGTTAAATCTGGGCAGTATTTAAATAGCCCATCCGCGACCCTTCTTCATTTTTCTACCATTTTTGAACAGGATTGAAGCTTTTGGGGGTCAGTTTTGAGGAAACCAAAAGGGAATCACTTGGAGGTAACATCTTTGACTTCATAACTCATTTATATGTGATTAAAGACCTAATTAGTGGTGAAAAATTTGGGAAAAATGGGTAATTAGGGCTTGAGATTAAGACCTTAACATGGCTATTTGAGGGGCCAATTGAACTCCGATTTCAGTGTTCTTGTTATGTATAGACTCGTGAGCATTCTAGATTTTTGAAAATATAAATTTCACCCGATTCTGAGACATGGTCCCGAGGGGTATTTTGGTTATTTTACCTAATTTTGCGTATTAGCCTAGAATTTAATTGTAGAATCAGTTACTTGAAGTGTTATTTACATTATGCAATTGAATTGAATAGATTTTGGCCATTTGGAGTTGAGTACTCATGGTAAAGACGTGGTTTCGGGTTGATTTTGAGCTGGTTCGAGGTTGGTGACTTGCCTAAACTTGTGTGGGGGACCTTCCCCTTAGGATTTGGTATATTTGATAATTGAAATGACTTGTACGTGAGGTGACGAGTGCGTACTTGAGCTAATTGTTGAAAATTCGGTTTTCCTTAAGTAATTTCAATTTTGTTCCTTTTTCCTGTTTTATACCACTGCAATTTAAGCCTGCTGTTAGCTTAGAAAAAGCATGTTTAATTGACTTAATTGCTTATTTGCTTAAACTGCCTTAATTGTATTATGTGAAGCATGTTAGGTTAGAATTACCTGTTTTACTTGGTATGAAATTGAGCTTAATTGAGTATTCTTGTGTTGCGGCTGTGTGTTTTTCTTTAGGACTACGGGACGGTATCCCAGGAGATCCCCTGTACATACTTATAATTTGAGTTGAGGTGCGGGATACCGAGAGATCTCTGGCACATATATTGAGGATACCTAGAGATTCTCGGGATATCAAGAGATCCCTAGCATATATTGAGAATACCAAGAGATCCACGTGATACCAAGAGATCCCTGGCATACACTGAGGGTACTAAGTGATCCTCGGGATACTGAGAGATCTCCGGTTATTATCCTTGCGGAGAGTGGTATTTCCTTGTGATTGTTTTTGTCTCTGTTCCAGTTATTGTATTCCTTATTATCCTGTATTAAATTATTATTGTCTGCTTTCAACTGTACTACTTATCTTACTCTGTCATCCCTTGTATTTTATTTAATCTCAATAGGGCCCTGACCTTTCTCGTCACTACCCGACCGAGGTTAGGGTTGGCACTTACTAAGTACCGCTGTGGTGTACGCATGCCCTTTCTGCGCATGTTTTTCATGTGCAGATCCAGGTACTTCGACTCAGTCCTATCACCCTTGAGGCGAGGTGACTGTTCCAGAGCCTTCGAGGTATATCTGCCGCGTTCGCAGATCGAGGAGTCCCTTTCTACTTTCCCTATTGTATTAGCCCTTATGTATTTTCTTTCTCTGTTAGATATTCTGGAGTTAGACAGTGGTAGACATTCAAAGGCTTGTGGTTTCATGAGATTCGGGGTTTTAGGAAAATGTATTAGTTTTTGAGAGTTAATATTGTGTATGCCGAGCGACACTTTTAAACGCTATTTTATTACACTATTTCTGCTTTAAATTTTTTTCTTCCACAAATTGGTTTATCTTTCGCATTATAGGCTTACCTAGTTGTAGAGACTAGGTGCCATCACGATGGTTCACGAAGGGCGAACCAGGGTTGTGACAGCTGCTATTGCCTTTAAACATCTGATAGTGGTCATTTTGACCACTGGTGAAAATGTGTCTGTATAATATATTCCTTCCCTTTGAATGTCCCCCCCTAACTACTAACCTAGTTGTAGATCGAGGAGTCCCTTTCTACTCTCCCTATTGTATTAGCCCTTCTGTATTTTTTTTCTTTGTTAGATATTCTGGAGTTAGAAACTGGTAGACATTCAAAGGCTTGTGGTTTCATGAGATTCCGAGTTTTGGGAAAATGTATTAGTTTTTGAGAGTTAATATTGTGTATGCCGAGCGGCACTTTTAAACGTTGTTTTATTATACTATTTTTGTTTTAAATTGTTTTCTTATGCAAATTGGTTTATCTTTCACATTTTATGCTTACCTAGTCATAGAGGCTAGGTGCCATCACGATGGTTTACAGAGGGCGAACCGGGGTCGTGACAAGTTGGTATCAGAGCTCTAGGTTCATAGGAGTTATGAATCACAAGCCGGTTTATTAGAATCTCGCTGATCGGTATGGAGACGTCTGTACTTATCTACGAGAGACTATGTAACTGTTTGGAAAATTCCACTTCATTTGATTTCCTTGTCGTGCGTGATTTTGACATCACAATTATAAACTTTTGTCTTCTATTCTCTCACAGATGCTAAGTACACGCGCTACCCAAGATGATCAGGCACCTGCGCCCCCTGCTGCAGCCGTCAGAGGCTGGGGCCGGGGTAGAGGCCAAGGACGCGCACGTGGTGCAACCAGAGTACCTGTGCGAGCTGCCATCGAGGTACCACCAGCAGTTCCAGCCAGAGTCCAAGCACCTGATACGCCTACTGCTACTACTACTCCAGCACTTCAGAAGACTCTGGTACATTTCATGAGCATGTACACCACTTTGACTTCCCCTTGCTGCAGCTACATCTCAGGCCAGGGGAGGAGCACAGACTCCCGCCGCCCGCACTCTTGAGCAACGAGTGCATGTTGAGCAGGTCCTTGAGATTATTCCTGTACAACCTACAGTCCGAGGTCAGGCCGAGGATAGGGTAGTGGCTTCCGAGGATGAGCAGCTGAGGCTTGAGAGGTTCAAGAAGTACAAGCCTCTTGTATTCAGTGGTTTAGCATCGGATGATGCTCTGGGATTTCTAGATGAGTGTTACCGTATTCTCCGTACCATGGGTATATCAGGGTCGAACGAGGTTTCTTTCACTACTTTCCAGGTTCGAGGTATTCTTCGTACCATGGGTATATCAGGGATGTATGGCGCACAGAGTTTGAGCATTTGCGCCAGGGTGCTATGACTGTCTCAGAGTATGCTGTCCATTACACTAGTTTGACTAGACATGCACCAGCCTTGGTTTCTACTATTCGCGAGAGGGTTCGCCGGTTTATTGAAGGGCACATCAGGTTAGCATGGCTCGTGAGTTGGAGATGGATATTTCTTATCAGCAGGTGGTGAGCATTGCTAGGAGGATTGAGGGTATGCATTCTAGAGAGAGAGAGGAGAGGGAGGCCAAAAGGTCTCAAGAGTCGGGCCATTATTCTGGTGCCCGTGCCCCAACTGCAGGTCGTCATGGTATGGGTTACATGAGTCGCCATGTTCATTCAGCTCTTCCAGCGGCTAGTGGTATTCCAGCTCTTCCTAGGTATTAAGAGCCTTATTATGCACCTCCAGTTTCTAGCGCGCCTCCTGCGCGGGGTAATTTCAGAGGTCGGTCCAGTAGACCTGGCCTGAGCCAGTCACAACCACCACGTCCTCCCAGAGCTTGTTTTGAGTGTGGTGACACACACCATATGGTAAGGGATTGCCCTAGACTTGGGAGGAGTGCGCCTCCACAGACTTATCAGCCACATCGTGCCCCACAAAGTCTTAGGCTATGGTTACAGCTCCAGTTGCTACCCCACCTGCTCTGCCAGCTAGAGGTGGAGGTCGGGGAGGTAGAGGTCGCCCTAGAGGGGGAGGCTAGGCCCGATATTATGCCCTTCCTACTCGTACCGAGGCTGTTGCCTCTGATTCTATCATCATAGGTATTATACTGGTTTGTCATAGAGATGCATCGGTTCTATTCGATCCAAGCTCCACTTACTCTTATGTGTCTTCTTATTTTGCTTTGTATTTGGGTGTACCTCAGAATTCTTTGAGTTCCCCTGTTTATGTTTCTACTCCTGTGAGAGATTCTCTTGTTG